TTTGTATACATATATATATACACACACATCAAAAACCACTCCATAATTATTGTACACTATTGTGAATTCTTTATTTATTTTATGCCATAAAATTCCTGTACCTATACAGGTTATTCAGATACATAAAAATGATAGATAGAGATACAGATCTCTAGATAGTCTTCAACTTACAACCACAATTGGGACCAGCCATAACTTTTTTCAGTGCCATTATAACTTTGAGTGGTTGCTAAACAAATGGATGTAAGTCAAGGACTACCTGTATATTCAAAACACACAATAATTATATACTGAATTTATTTAACTTCTTCCTTTTTTATGTAAGTGTATGTCTACTTATTGATGAAAGTAAAGGGGTAACAAAAATAATCAGTGTTCTTCTTTTAGGAAGCAACACCAATAGAACATCCTTTCAGTGCTGTGAAACGTGAACAACAGAAAAAATGGCTTGAAGAGCTTGATAAGCAAAAGGAAGCAGACAAGTTGCGAAAAATGGAAGAAAAATGTAATTTTTTGAAGGTAGACATGGTTATAAAGGCCACTTTAAGGAAAAATGGAAGATCTAATAAAAATATTTATCCAGCTGTTTTCTTAGAAAACAGAATTATAGCAACCGAAGTACAAAACTTGCATGTTCAAATTGCCTAGTGAAAATAAGGATTGCAGTTAGCAAAGAAAATTTGAAACCTTGGCTACTCAGTTCAATAACCCTCAAAATAAATGGTCCAGTGAAATCTATAAATGCTTCTCAACAATTTGTCAATATATCAAACATTCCTGAACTCAAAACAATCCTTGCTTGGTGTGAAGGATGCTTTTAATATATTTTGGTGGCATTTTTGAGATGTAATATTATATTGTCCAGAAATTCAATCCTAATTCCCTTGCTCCTTGGTTCAACAAAGTCTGCCTTACAGCTAATCAGACGTATTGGAGCATCCACAACCTTTAAGCTACCTAATGAACTTACTTTATATGCGTCCTGTAGCAAGACTATATAGCCCTATGGAAAAAAAGAAAAATGGAAATATAAAAGGCTGTTTGGAAGAAATTGGCACAATCCATATGAAAAGTCCCAGTGTTTTAGTGGCATGTTATCAAACAGTTCCCCTAGATTGAGTGTTCAGTCCCATTCAAGATGGGATGCATATTTCTATGGCCCTGTTTAATATCCACTCTAGAGATTCAGATCTTTTGCCTGTAATCTCAGAGCATCATCCTGACTGGCATCCCGCCACCATTTCAGAGACCTCCCAAGTTTAGGGAACAATTGATAAGTGAAAGTTCCCAGTGGCACTTCTGAAATCTGATTTAGATTTGTGGGGTCCTGGCTTGGACTTCCTGTTTATCTATATTGATAAATTCTTGCAGGTGTCTAAAGAATAGGGCTGATCCCTCCTAATAGGCCAACATTTAAGAAAGTTTATAAACTTCAGTCTAAACTGCTAAGCACCCTGTTCTGTGCTTCTGTTGTGCCCCTAACACTTTTGTTCGAGGTTCATAAAAGAAAATGTGGACATATATTTAAATATTATTTTCTTTGTATTTCTTTAGGGTGAAGAGCATGACAAATGGACAATACATTTTGATTCTTTCAAGAATCATATGAATTCTTTTACACAATATCCTTTAAATACAACATATCAAAAGACTCCTGAGACCATGCAGCTCTCCCACGACAATACAGCTTGTTCATCTTCAGCTTTGTCTTGTCTCACACCTACAGAAATGGAGATTCCAGGAAAAGCAATTGGAAACTATATTTCGGAGTCAAATCAAAAAGCCAGGTGACTGCTTAAACTTTTCCTTCCAGGTTCCAACCTGGCATTAATTAGCATAACCTATATAACTGTTCTTTCAATAAATTAATTTTACTTGTACTTGCAACTCTATGTGCATAACTGTAGAATATCTTTTTTTCTTGAGATTTGTCTCAACAAATATATACTTCTTAGAGAATAAAGCTACTTGTGTGAAGAGCCGAGGTGGCGCAGTGGTTAAATGCAGCACTGCAGGCTACTTCAGCTGACTGCAGTTCTGCAGTTCAGCTGTTCCAAAT